TGTAAACCTGATGCTCCTGATGCTGAAATCACGTTTGGTGTGAACGCACCATAAGAGTCTCTGTAGCTGCGTTTCCATTGCAAATGTGCGCWAAACTTTGTCGATATTCTGTTATTGTCGAAAAAACACAGTTTCACAATTGCAGTGTTTCCAATAAGTGATCAATGCTATTAAAGTCACGCGTGAATATGTTCTTGSGATAAGTCATTACAAACATAGCGGCAATGGATGTAAACACATAGCATATTGCTACCAYGACACTAGCACTCATCAGCYATCAGAGGAGAACGTCRGCATCTTATCGAGGCTTTCGAGTGACAAGACCCTTATACTTGGGAGTGGTTACGTATGCTGCGTTTTTGGGAAAATGTAGTCGGTGAGTTTAATACTTTCTTTTACTACTTCGGTGATTTTACTTCTWSTTTTACTYCCTGTTATCTTCTTCTTCATCKGCTTTTTCGCCAGTARAAACACCCGGTTCTTGATCACGTCTCATGACTCCTGTGATGCGAAAAAAGTGTTTCCATTGCAGTTTTGCGAAATACACCAATTTTGATACGGCCGAAAAACCACCTCTTCCCAGCGCAAAACCATTTTGTCGAAAAMCTTTTTTTTTTCGAAATTGACGTGTTCCTATTGAGCAAATTTATTTTTGAAATTCTAATTTGCACATTTTCATGGTCAATGGAAATGCAGCTACTGACGATCATCCATAAAAAGATWAAAAAGAGCATTATTTTACCAACAAGGTTTTTTTTTCTGTTTATTTTTAATTAAAATTTTTGGACTGTATATTTAAATAGCATATAAACATCTCTTTAAATCAAATGGTGACATCTGTTTCAAGATGGACTTTTTCTTAACATTCATATCAAATATGTTAAATTTAGACAATGATAAACCTGATTATAGTTCATTTGTTTTTCTAGCTACTTATATTACAGAAACATATTTTCTTTTCACAGTGAAGGTCAGTCACTAAAAATAAAACAGGGGTTGTGCCAAGGCGAGTAGGCCAAGAAAAAACAAAAAATAATCAGAACTTGTATCAGTTTCTAAAGGTTATTTTCCTAACAAAAACAAACAAGTCATCTAACTTGAAACCTAGATTTGTCAAGTTCATAACTTAACTTATTCTAATCACTTTTATTAGTTTTACCACTGATTGTGCACAACACGTGTTAAACTTGAGTACATTTCTGTCAGAGTTGGACAAACAAATTTAGCCACAAGTCAAGAATGAACATAAGTTATAGTGAATGAAAAAAAAAAGTAACAAGAAATAATCATTTGAAGTTAGTGACCCAACACAGATTGGGACTTTTTGCWGCAAAGTGAATCTGAATCTCAGTTTTCAAAGGGAACAAAATATAAATCTGATTAGGTAATATTTCCTTATCACCTACAAAGTGTTGTTAAAAGGGCAAGTATTATTTTACGTTATGTTGTTTCAAGCAGGATGCATGGAAATGAGAAATACTTCAAAGTGGTGCTTGGGCAGTGTGCACTAGAAGCAATGCATGTTGCAAAACGTTGGTAGAAATGTTGTTTTCARCACAACTAGAATGTAGAATGAAACTTTAACACTTCTAATGATGACCTTTTGAGAAATAMTTCAAAATGCCTCAGACAGCATTGAAGGTGCTACAGGTTCACTATTACTATCTGAAGTGATGCAGTTGTCATCAAGCTTGTACATCCAGGCTGATGAGGGTGCTTCTGGAAAGTTTTGGCCAGGAACTACATGTTTAGAAATGTATTATGTAACCCACRGCCTTAAGGGCGGTCATTACACATCAAGTAGTAATGCCCATTTCCTCTTTAGTTTGGCAGTTGCACAAGCGGTATTAACAAACATGGAATAATACGATGCATTATCTATTCTGTYACTGAGTAGCAAGTCCTGCAAGTTCTTAATCATCAAATATGGCCAACACCTTAACTTCAAAATAAGGCAATTATTTATCTTTCTCTACTAATGTTCTCAACTGAAAAAACCCCGCCCGAAGCTACCCATAAACATTTTTTCCATTTTTATCAGACMACAAAATCATCTGTGAAGAATTGAAGCATGAAGTTGACTTTGGTTTCAAAGTCACAGCAGAAAAGAATTATTTTACTTTTAACAAAGAATTGAAGAAAAAAATAAGCCAACTTCAATTATATTAAAATGCACCAGAAAAACAAAATCAAAATTGCTGCACATTTCTACATAATAAGGCGAAAAGAAGAAATAAAATTAGACTGAATTAGTCACTTTAATTAAATGGGAGAAAATTTAATTTTGTCATATTCTGAAGTCATTCTAGCCACAACGTCCTGTGCCACCTCAACAAACACATATCTTAGCCTACTCTGTAGTATTGTACTTGACCTGAGCAAAAACACTCACGTGCAACTTGGAGGAATTTTTACAGGTCACTTATCATTTCTGCAATTTATATACACATTTAGTTGTGACATTTGCCCCATGTCTATACACTAAATATTAACTACCCATTTATATTTTAAAAAATGAGCAGGACTGTATGTGCAGCAGTACTGTGGATTTCGKCTAGCAGAGCATGCAAAGTAGGCAATTGAAATGCTAAACGCACTGGAAATAAACAAGCTGCTTTTTCCACATCAGTCTGTTGTGATTTTTTAAATAGGTTCTTGATATGAGGGTTCTACCCATGAATCAATCACATACACTTCAATTTATTGAGCAATTTTTTTTTCATATTTAGTCAGACCTGAAAATATCAAAATCAAATAAACCCTGGRAATAAAGAGAAACAAACATTAAAACATCTGAAAGGACGAGTTTAATTAGTGCTGAGACTATTTAATTTACTTCAAACCAATTTTACAATAAAGTAAGTTAGAAATAAAATGTCTAATTCAACTGTCACTGTTCATATTTATAACTTTGTCTTGAACAACATTCCTGTATATCCTGCATTTCAGTAGTCCAAATAAATCTAAAAAAAAGGTTAAGTGGGTTGTCTGGATGGGTTCTTGCAGTACCTGGTACCTGCTTAAATTTCTACAGATTAGCAGCTTTGCAAAAACAAAAAGACCAGTGCCTACAGATTTGTGAACTTTGCACTCCGATTTCTACAGCAATTATTTTGTATTAAAAATAAATAAATAAAAGAAGGCCTAAGTGTCTAGGAGTTCTGTACAGTTTCAGAGATGCTGTTCATGTACTCACAAATATATTTGCTTTCTAACAAACAAGATGTCTGCAGTGTTATTTTATGTAACCTTCTGGTTTTGGCTCAGACTACTTGAAACCACACATTTAAAAAAAAAAAGAACAAGAACCAGGTAAAAGCAAAAACACACACAAAAAAAAACCTAAATGGGATGAATACATTTTTTGTGCTTAAGTTTATWAACCACTAAGCAATTTCTTTGTCAGAGGACCACCATTCAGACCACCTGATCATGAGTACAGAGGTCAAAAAGTCCCCAAGAAATTAAAACCTGCCCTACAAATATCTACTGTATGAGGTGCAATCCTAATTACTGACAGCTCCAATCTGTAGTTTATTTTCCCCCCGACAGGATAAAYCTGGCATAAGAGTACAAAACTCTTTCCCCCCCGCTTAATTTCAACTGCAGATGGTATCCCCTTGATGTGAGACAGATCTGTTGTTTATCATGCGTGAAGATGCAGAAACAGGAAACAAAACACTTCCCTTGTGTGTGCATATTTGTTTCATTACACTGGTGCMGCACGCAAACATTTTATCAATTACAATTGATTTATAGCTAATGTAAAGCTTGAGGATTTTTACATTATGGAAATAATACTCTCTCAACTTCTTCCCAACACACTAATCGTTTTTTATTTTATTGATCCTGGAAAGTCAGTGCACAACAAGTTCAACAAACTTGAACTTTTGGAGACAGTTCCAAACAAATGCTTCAGAACTTCAGAAAAATGACAATATAACACAGCTAACCCTTTGCTGCGTTTAGCAAGTACTTTGCTTTCTATAGCTAACCTTTTTCTTATTTTAGTACACCTCTTGTTGCTTTTAGCAAGTCTTTGTTTTTGCTACCTATAGCTAGCAGTTTCCATGTTTTAACTATTAGCTCTGCTTCAGCACTTACTTTCTTTTTAAAGCTCTTATTTGCTTGATCATCCYTGTCATCTCTCCATTTTAGCTTTATGTAACAATATATCTCATGATGGTTAATTAACTTGTTTTACTTGTATAGTTTCTTTTGAGTACCACTAAAGGAATCCTAAGTACATAAGGTAGTAAAATTTTACAAGTTTGACAGCCAAAGGTTTAGAATATTCCTATTTATGATCAAAATGGGAACATGAAATATTTTCAGCTCAATTATTTTCAGAATCGAACAGTAATATCTGTGCTAAAATAGTAGATTCGTGTGTATAGCTACCACACATTCAGCTTGTGATGGGGCATCTTTGACAGTATTTATTAGGGCGTTTTTACTGCCTGGATGATAGTGAAGTCATTGATCTGAGCCTTTAACYACGGTGGATGCTGCTTTTCTGTACACATGTCTGAAATTGTGACAGACTGAAGAAAAAAATCATTACCCTCACTGACTTTTAATTAGTAACGATCAGAGACAAGAAGACATYTTTAAAAACGTCAAACAGAGATTTATTCAGCAGTATTAAAGCCATTCTTGATGCATTTTGTAGTTCGAGACGAAAAATGGGCGTGAGCTCTGCTAGCTAGCAGCGCTAACCTTGTTTTAGCTCCAAATGACTTAACTCAAACCGAGCCCTCAGTCTGAATAAACAAATTAAACTTCATTTTTTTAAAACCTCGAGTCCGCACAGAAACAACCCTATCAGCCTTTACTAAGCATTTATGGCTACTCCTGTTGTCTCAGTGGTAAAAGAAGAAGAGATAACACTTAAAACAGACGATAAACTTGACAGCATCAATTTTCCAAGTTCGGAGTGGTTAAAAACAGCGAGCTAACATTAAGCTAACGATGAGGAATAAAAATAACCACCGACTCACCAGCGATTCCCCTCAGCCCCTCCTGTAGTTTTCCTTTCTCTCCCTCTCTCTGCGTTTTTCTTCACAAAAACCACGTTGTTTTGAAGGAGTACACCCAAAAAGCTGAAAGCAGTCTGTAGATTAAAAACAAATCAACGTTACGCAAACCCTTCCGCGGGGCGACCTYATCACAACCCTCGCCTCGGCTCCGCCTGTCTGTAGCGTGTTCACGGACGGTGCTGGAGGCTCTGATAAAGCTGGACCCGACCGATGCAAGAAGAGAATAAKGTAGATATATCTCAGTAGGTGAATAAATTGAGGCAAAAAATTGTGGTTTTCTTAAAAAAAAAACAGCAGGAAAAAAAATCTCGTCGTTGACAATGGCAGTCGTCCTTGGCAGTCTGCACGATTTGCACGTACACACGGTGGTGTTTACTCGCCCACTGCCACCAGTGGAGAAATCCCACCTCCTCCCAGTCAACCCCGAGCTCAGACCGTGGAGGTGAYACTGGAGGACCATAGGACAGACTGATGCTGGACTCAGAGGACCGGATGTGCTTCTGAGCAAGACTGCAAACTGATAGCAACTATAAATGACTCTGGTGGTGATAATATTCAATAGGAGGTTTAAAAAAATAGGGTGGAGTTTACAAGCAGTCCAGTGTGCAAGAAATGCAATCAGCAGAGCAGCTTCTACTTACACATCTTTCTGTAAATATTTGCTGTATTCATCTTTACCTGTACCATACTCACTTTAGTACATCATAAAATGTAAATACAAAACAGAATGCAATGATTTGCAAATCTCACAAACATTTATTTTATTAGCAACAGAACATAATAAACATTAATTTTTAAGTGTTTATTAATATGTTCAACAGAGGGGGTAATAAATAGCTGTAATTGTAAGTGGTACTAATAAGAAACAGCTGGAACTAATTAAAGTTGTTGCAGCTAATTGGTTAACAGGACTAGTTTAAAATAAGTATTTTAGGTGGCTGAAGCTCTAAGAAGTATAAATATGAGCAAAGAATACCAGTTTGCAAAAAAAGTGTTTCCAAAAAATTTGACACGGTCCTCGATTCTACAGTAAAGAAGGACCATTCAGCAAATGATTCAGAAGCATGCCTCTCTGATGGTATGAGGGTGCATTAATGCTTTTGACATGGGCATCTTACACACCTGGAAAGGCAGTGCCAATATAAAGTAGCCTCTACATACAGATTTGAGAACAACATATGTGTCTTTCTCAGGAACAGTCATGCATGTTTCAGTAAGTCAATATTAAACTGTGCATTGCATCCTACAGCATGGTTTTGTAGTGGTAGAACCAAGAACCTCCCTGGGGTCCATACCTCTCATCTATTAAAAATAAATACATTAAGCACATCATGAAACAAACAAAAAAAAAAAAGTCTGGCAAAGCTTGAATCCTTCATCAGCCAAAAATAGGTCTAGTGTTAGAAGAAGGGTTGCACCACAGTAGTAAACTCACTCCAATATGAGCTGGATTGCTACTTTTGAAGTCAAAATTACCTTATATTAATGGCTGGATCTCCACTGTGTGTCACAAAACACGAAACGTGGGAATCCTAAGAGGCTCTCCAGAACTGAAACAAAGTTTCATGTTTCTACTTGCATGTTTTTTACAGTAATTGTGATGCCATGGCTTGGTGGTCAGTGTGGTAATCTTGTAATCCTGAGGCTGCAGGTTTGAGCTCAGGCTGTGTCAGGAAAACAGTTGCCAAACTCTGTGTGAGTTTGCTCACTGTGGGGACCCTTGCAGAAGGGAGCAGCTGGAAAAGCAGAATATATATTTTACTGTAAGTGTTACAAAAGATTAAAAACAACAGTTAAGTTAATTCAAACTAAACTGTATACCATCTCCTACATGACTACATTGAATAAACAGAAAGTGGCGCTGCCTACAAATATTAAAAACAGGATTCCTGTGAAATTACGTTTCTTGAAACTCAATGTCAACTCCCAACACATGCACACGTGTTGACACTTCCTCCGTATGAAGCCTGTCTCCAGGAAGCCACACTTTGGCCACCCAGCCCGGCACTTCGTTTCCTTTGAGAGCAGTGGAAGAAGCACAACCCTTCCCTGATGCACATCACTATGAGAGCATGTCAATGAGGTGCGAGTGACAGGAGAGCATTGTGAGGTGGCCACTGAGTGGGAATGCCATGTGACACTCCCTGAATGGGCTGCCGGGGGCTTGGCAGTGTGTGTGTGTGTGTGGGAGAGAGGATGGTAGCATCCACAAAGACCCATTGAAGGACTTGCAGACTAGGTACAAGTCTGGCACTGGTCCTCCTTCCCTTCCATGGGACAGCAGGAGGARGCTGCTGCTTGGTACTGACTGAAAGGAAGGATTATTTCTGAAAGAATAGGAGAGGAGGTTTATTATCACCATGAAACACTTCCTTCACTCTGTTGATGGCCATTATGTCACAGCTGTATTGTACGTAGCGTGAATAAAAACAAACAAGCCATGCAAACATTCTATACATTCAGTTTACACCCGTGGCACTTATTCACAGAAATGCTGTGCTTGATTGAAGATCAGGAGGAAAAACTGAATGAAAAAAAAATGCAGCAAGAATATTCATTTGACATCCTCATCTAAAAAGGTTTTTGTGTTAAATTTGATAATAAATCATACTTAATATTGCATTAATGTTTTTTCTTTGTCCCAAAATGTTATGAGCTGTGAGACAAGTTGCCTAATTTGTTTTAGGCAAGACGTAACGTCACAAGCATAACTCAAAAACCCAATTTATTTTAACAAACTAATGTGTTTATTACCACAAATATTGGTTATTATCTTGTTTTGTTGTAAAATAACTTACACTTTATGTCAATGGCAGAGTCTCAAAATACATCACATTTAGTTTGTCACTGTAACACAAACACAACGCTGCATCTCTTTACTATTTAAAGTATAAATATACTCATTAAACCAAACTGAAACCTATTTTTGTTACCAGATATTTCCTCGCCATGATTTTGATATAAAAAAGCAAGTCAAAAGTAATCAGAAATAAAATATCAAGCCATTTAAGAAAACAAACAAACAAAAAAAAACAGGGTTTTATTGGTGAAACTGTTTTAATCTCATCTTCTGTTTGCAACTTGTAAGTTATCACTGTTTTTTGCTGGACTTAGTCAGCTTTGAAAAATTTATATTTGCTTCCCTCCAGTGGTGATCATTGTAAATTGCAAAGGGAGCACATGAAGTTGCTGCATGAACTAAGAACAATTTGAACTTTCACCCACAACAAAACACTTCCTGTAAGAAAAAGAACAGAGTGCAACATCMCCCCCCCCCCCCACCAATACACACAAGCACACACACACATGCACACACCGTGTCAGTCTGTTTTCTGTTGTGAAAGAAGACAAGAAGTCAGCCCTGTTGCAGCAAAACTCTCTGATCTGAAGCTGATTGGATCCCAATCCTCTGGTTCCTGCAGCTGAGAGAGGCCTGAGAGGGTTTGAATCAAGTCGTCAAGATCCAGACCAGATCAGGAGGATCTTCATGTTCTGTAAACCAGGAGATCTTATGACCCGGTCCAGTTGTGTGAGAACAAATATGTCTGCAGAGCTGGTCCTGTGAAGAGCTAATTGGTCGGTTTTGTTTGCAACCTGTTCTGTAAACTAATATTTTTATCTTAAAAGGTCTTTCTGTCAGTTTCTGGGGTTGGGCCGAGGTGGCCGGTGAGGCCAGGTCGAGGGGGGCTGGTACAAGCTTGGCTGGGTCCAGGTGATAATGGATAAGATAATGAATGAATAGTTGATTTTTGTAAAATTTTTTGGACCTCCTAGTTTTCTGTAGTGCTGAGGTGCAGAGCCTGAAGTTCTGGACGGTGTTTAAATGTAGTTGAAGTTCTGGACGGTCTTTAAAGGTAGTTGAAGTTCTGGACGGTATTTAAAAGTAGTTGAAGTTCTGGACGGTCTTTAAAGGTAGTTGANAAGGTAGTTGAAGTTCTGGACGGTATTTAAAAGTAGTTGAAGTTCTGGACGGTCTTTAAAGGTAGTTGAAGTTCTGGACGGTATTTAAAAGTAGTCGAAGTTCTGGACGGTCTTTAAAGGTAGTCGAAGTTCTGGACGGTCTTTAAAGGTAGTCAAAGTTCTGGACGGTCTTTAAAGGAAGTTGAAGTTCTGGATGGTCTTTAAAGGAAGTTGAAGTTCTGGACGGTCTTTAAAAGGTACTTGAAGTTCTGGACAGTATTTAAAGGTAGTTGAAGTTCTGGACGGTCTTTAAAAGGTAGTTGAAGTTCTGGATGGTGTTTAAACAGTACTTTAAGTATTAGAAGTATTTTTTTCCCTTATAAAAATCTGTTGTTTAACTTTTAGAAACATTCCTGCAGCAAAAACAAGACAACCAGTGTGGGATAGGACAGAGACAGGAAGATGAGGACATTTGTCTCTGCTCTCAGAACCTAATTTCAGACCTGAACCCAATTTCTGTAGTTATTGATCAGGAAAACAGATGAATTGATTTTTGTTTGGTCTAAATTCAGATTATGCTCATCCTGAGCTGCTGCAGGTCAGAACCTTTCATCATAGCACCTGACAGCTGCTTCAACTTTCCATTTTCTATTCGAGATCTGACTTTTCTCTCCATAAAAAGGAAAAACCTGGAACAAATTCCAGACATTTCCAGGCAGTCCAAGAACCCTGACCCGGTCCATAGAACCTGGACAGACAGGTTCAGGGTTCTGAGTGCTGACCCAGCCCACACCTGGTTCTGAAGGACAAATATAAAAACATAAAACACATTCCTCCACACATGTTCCTGTTTTAAATCAAAGTTTAAGAACTTTATTTAAAAATAAATCAAGAATAAAACTAAAAGTTGTGTTTTTAAAAACAAACAGGTCAGAAAAACAGGAACTATGAACAAATGTTACAAGATAAAACGTTACAAAAAGAACGGAAGCTGCAGGCGGYTCAGTCTGACGTCCCACACAGAGTCGTGAGGCGGTTCTGTCAGGAAACAAAAACATTTAAGATTTTCACTCAAAGAACTGAAGAAAAGCAGGGGAAAAAAGCAACTACTGACCTGACATAATATCACATTTTAGTCACAGGAAAATTAATGAACAAACAAACAGTTTAATCAAAGAAACTAGAATGGTTCCTGATGTTGGCTTTTTCAGGTGGATAATTTTAGGGCCCTCCTTCAAAAAGAATGGAGGCAATAAACCCCAACTCTCTCCAGAACACTGGCCTCATGTATCAACAGTGGTCAACAAAAATTTACACCAACTCCAGAGCTGGGGTACGCTCGCTTCTGTGGTTCTGGTTTTATTGGAGACTTTTAAGCACGCAGCAGGCTGCAGCTGAACCTAGGGGTGGGTGATGTATGGAATATACTCCATGTATCCTGAGTTTTTAATGTATGATGGTTAAAATGGCTTTATTGTAACCACAGAGTATAAACCATCATGCAAACAATAAGCTGCGTCGCTGCAAGTTTTGCTTTTCCAACTGACCTGAAAGCATCACCCGCCCCCTCCCCCCTGGACACACAGAGAGGAGCATGTAGCGAAAACATGGTGGCAGCGAGAGGTTCAGGTGAGCATGAGACTAAAACTAGTTCAGATTAGAGAAACAGCACTGGATCAATAATCTGGCAGTGGTTTGAATTTCATTAAGAGGACGTCAAACAAAATGCGGTAATTTGTAAAACATGCTGTTCTGGGTCAGTCAAGTTTATCCTCACTGTATATACTTTTGTTTTTGTATTTTAAAGCCTTCCAGGGTTCCTACAGTTTAAGGCAAGTTAAATTCAAGACTTTTTAAGACCTAAGAATGATGATGATGATGATCTACCTGCAGCAACTGGATGCTCCTCAGAGCCGTCTGGTCCAGCTGGGACAGGTCCACAGAGTCCATCTGACTGGCCAGCAGCTGMAGGCTCTGCAGGACACATTCAGGGTTTAAGAACCAGGATCTGGTCTCGTCTCACCTTCTGCAGCTGGAGACACCCACCTGTCCATTCCCAATGGGGACGCTGAGGACAATGTCCTCACTTCCTGCTGCCACAGGAGACCCATTCACAGAGATGCTGAAGACCCGCTCTTTGTGGCGAGGGACCCTCAGAGCAGGGGTCTTAGGAAGTCTGACCACAGAGAGACTGAATGTCAGAGACAGGAACTCCTGAGTCCAGCAGGGACTCACCTGGATCCTGAGTCCACTCAGAGTCCAGCAGGGACTCACCTGGACCCTGAGTCCACTCAGAGTCCAGCAGGGACTCACCTGGACCCAGAGTCCAGCGGGGACTCACCTGGACCCAGAATCCAGCAGGGACTCACCTGGACCCAGAGTCCAGTAGGGACTCACCTGGACCCTGAGTCCACTCTGAGTCCAGCAGAGACTCACCTGGGGTCGAAACGCGGGGTGATGAGCGGGGTCGATCCCATCATAAGGGATGAGTCCAACATGGTTCTGGCAGGAGTGATCAGAGGCTTCCTGTTGGACCTGGACCCACACAGACACACAGTCAGAACCGTAGAACCTGGGTGGGCGGGGCTACAGGTACACATTTATAAAGGGGCGGGGCTTCAACTCACTGTCTGCTGGCTTTACTTTTAGTTGTTGTTGTTCTTGTGGACTGAGGTTTTCTGTATGTTCTCCCCTGAATGAAAAAACAAAAAACAAAAACTGAAACCAGTTTTTATTTCAGAACCAGAACCACAACCAGAACCCGTCTCTACCTTCCTGGAGGAACTGGGAACATTTTCATCATCTGAGGTGGATTTGGCTTCAGCTTTCTTCTTATTCTTCACTGTGGGTCAGAACACAAACAGAATCAGAACCAGGTTCTACAAGGTCCAGAAGTCTGAGCTGATCAGGGTCCAAGTTCTGATCATCTTTAAACTTCAGAACCTAAATGTTCTGAAGACTCCTACACAGAACCTGCAGTAAATACTGAGGAGTGTTGTTGTAAACAAACACACCAGACACACAACAACAACAACAAACACAACAACAAACATAACAACATTAACAACAACAAACACAACACACACAACAACAACAAACACAACAACAACAAACACAACACACACAACAACAACAAACACAACAACAACAAACACAACACACACAACAACAACAAACACAACAACAACAAACACAACACACACAACAACAACAAACACAACAACAACAAACACAACACACACAACAACAACAAACACAACAACAACAAACACAACACACACAACAACAACAAACACAACAACAACAAACACAACACACACAACAACAACAAACACAACAACAACAAACACAACACACACAACA